AGCTGCTACTTCCCGAGATGAAGATGGCAGCAGGCCAGTTTGAAAGGCCTGTGGTCTCCTTGAGTGAGCTGTGAGTATAGTATTCAGCAAGGAGGGCCAGGGTAGAGATGTATTGGGGAAACATCGGGAGCTTGAGTGGAATCCTCAAGGAGTGTAGATGGGGAGGACTTCTAAGCCCTGAGCTCAGTGGCACTCCTCATGCTTAGAGGTTGGGAAGAGGCACAGGAAGCAGCTGAGAAGTGGCCAGGGAGGTCACATGATGTCTCATTCTGAGGATCAGTGGGGTATTCAGGAAGTGTGAATCAGGTGGCCAAGAGATGGAGCGATGCCAGTATTTGACAGCCAAATACATTCCAAATGACCTGATACAGCTCTTCATGCACACGAGGTTGATGAGAAAGACAGGTGAGGATATGGGAATGCATGCTGCTGCTGGTACTGGGTGCTCTGTGGTTGAGAGGGTATCTAGCAGCTCAAGGAGAAGGTAACCAACCACCATCACATGTACCATGCATCACCTGCATCAAACACCTAGGTGGTCATAGGCGAGGATGCACGCTGCAGCCTGGTGGAAATAGCAAGGGCCCCCTGCTGGAGAAGCAAAAGGCTGTGAAAACAAAGGAGAACTTGGTGCTGTGGCCAGAAACAATGAATTAGATGGAATTGATTAGGAAAAAAAAAAGAGCATGAGCTCTCAGGCCCAAAACTATCTATGAAATAGACAAAATAATATGATATGGATCCATTTTAAGGCCATGCATTCATTAGATTTGGGGTCTAGGGGAGGGGTTTGTGAATAGGTGTTGGGAGCAAAAAAAAAAAAAAAAAAAGGAAAAATAATATGAAACAAAAAATGGCTTTATATGACATGAATAAGATTAACCAACTTTGTCCTGTAAAGTTATTATTTTTTTTTAACAAAAGGGACTTTTATTAAATGAAAGAATCAGTTTTGTGGGCTAAATATGAAATAGATATACAAAAACTTTGCAGCGGGTCTCTTAAGGAGCTAGAAGACCACCCAAGAAAAGGGAAAGCTAGCTTCATCACAACCCCCGTGGTGGGATGGCCCAGGTCCCAGCGGCTCAGGCTGCGGGCAGACCCTGTGGGGGAGGCTCCCCATTGTCTGTGGGTCTCCTGAGGGGCTGGGCTCAGCTGGTGCCCACAGGCCTGTCTTCAGTACTTTGCTGCTCTGTACATGTGCACACTGCTGTTCCAGTTAAGAACCCTTTAAGACTCTGAGAGCTTAAGCTATGGAAAAGCACAAGATGGCAGTTCTCCCTACATTGTTCTGTAAGTGTTACTGGGATTCTGCGGTGGATTGCTAACTGGTGGTCAACTTGCTACACCCAGTTGAACTGGACTTGCATGGTGCTGGTGTGTGGAGCCCACCTGAGGATTGCTGGCAGCAGCACAAGAGGCAGAACTAGAGAAGCTGTTGAGAGGCTATTAGGGAAGTTATTTGGAGAAGATGTTGATCTGTTGAAGCTGCTGGTTCTCTTGGGCTATTCTGCTGGGGGACCTTGTCATGCTGGCTTTCCTGATGAAGTTGGCTGTTCTTATCGCTGAAGGAGCTCAGGACCTCATTGTTGCTGAGAATAGCTATGGTTCATTTTGGGGGATCTCTGTTCCTCATCTTGATTATTGCTTCCTGGCCCTGAAGGCAAAGATGGTGCAGTGCTTAGCCTTGTGGAGAAGCTTGTTGTGTTGGCTTTCCTGATGGGAACTGAGCTTTCCTTATCACTGGAGGAGATCAGGACCTCACTGTTGCTAAGAATGGATGTGGTTCTTTTGGGGGAGCTCTGGTGCTTACCTTGAGCACTGCTCCTGGCTCCAGTGCAGATCCCTCAGTTTGCTAGCACAGATCCTTTATCCTGCTGGTCTAGACTTTCTAGCTTCCTTCTTTCTTCTTCACTGACCTTTGGGCCTTCCAGATGCAGATCCGTAAAGTGGGCCTGCATGAGACATTGTCATGGGCTCCAGGCCTCCAGTTAGACTTGTGGGAGGTATTGTTATGGGCTCTGTGTATTCAGCTGGACTCATGCAGGACACTATTGTGAGATACAGGCTGTCAGCTGGATTATTTGATCTTTAGTGTGTGAACAGATTTTCCTACACTCTTTAAGTGATTCATTATAAAATAATCTTATAAAATGTATTGGTTACTTTGCAAAACCCCAACTCATGACAGTTTCCCAGAACTGTGTACCTGAGATTCTCACTCCTCTACCCTCACCCCCCCAAAATGGTCTTACACTAGCAGATCCAGTCAGGTTTAAGGATATAAAGCATACTTATCTAGGGCTTAAGACAACCAAAGTTTCTGAATATCATACACATGGGTGGAATGTCTTCAGTATGAACTCTACTTTTAGTCTTTAATAAAGTACTACTAATAAAGTACTCCCTGGCCTTCTTTGTAGGTAGGTATATCTATGGGATTTCTTTCTGGCCAATTTAGACAGAACTGCTAGGAAGTCAGTTAAAAAGGAAAGGGATGTGGTATCTTATCCTTTTCTACTGTTGGTTTGCAATGTGGACATGATGGTGGTGGTCCAGTAACCAGATGGAGACATGAGGCAATTGTGAGCATGTTAACTACTCTCTGAGAAAGACTGGAGCTGAAATCCTGATGATCCTCCAAGCTGCTGTACCAGAACTTGAGGTCCTACATCTGGTCTTTTGTATGAGAGAGACAAACATCTATGTCTTAAACTGCTGGGTCCTGAGCAGCTCTTGAAATGTTGGAGGGAGGATGGTGGGGGTGAAGAAGACATAAATCAATATACAAAAGCTGAGATCAGGTAGAGCCACTCTCCTGATGGGAGAAAGCCAACTGCCCAGCACCTACAGCATGGTTACATAATTAGCATATGCATAAGTTCTTGCAGAGTTTAAGGGGAGGGTAGGATCTGGGACAGAGAGAATATCTAATCTGTTAGTAGAACAGCCTGTCTTGGTGGCTTCATGGGAAACAAGGGAAAACTTATTTCAAGTGAAGGTCAAGTCACTATGTGCATCAGCTCTGATGTGCATACTTCTTATGGGACCCTGCCAAGCTCATGAGAGGCAGTGGCCTTATCCTCAATACCCAAGGTACAGACAGCTTCGCTCCCGGAGACATGAAACCATTATTATTATTATTACTATTACTACTATTATTTTTTTGGTGGTTTTTTTGGTGGAACCAGGGATTGAACTCAGACCCTTGTGCTTGCCAGTGAAGAACTTATTCTACTGAGCCATCTCCTCTCCCCTAATGAAACTATTATTACTTTGAAATTTTCTGTTATATAGAACTGAACACCTTCCTGAGGTTTGTTCTAAATCAATGTGGAACTAGAGAGAATTTCATATTTCTTAAAATTTGCCATTTTTTTCAAAGAAAGCTTTCCTAGAAATCCTTTATTAAATAGGTTTTATTCATTAATTTGGTATCTTCAAAGCCCAGTAGTCTGAAGTAGTTAAACCTCTACTTGTTTTAATTTTTAGAATGTTTCAATTATTGAAGAATCATGTGAAAGTATAAAATAATTTGGACCAGCCAGAGCTGCCATGTTTGGCAGCAGGCCTGTGGGTTTCAGCACAGAGCTGGTGACCTCATGACACGCACACTTATTTGGATGTTTCCAGAGTCGATCAGCACAAACCTTGGGACAGGTGGCTGCTGATGGAAGGCTACCAATCAGTTTGGTAGCAAAGGTGCAGCTCTAAGTAAATAGTTACATTAGTTCTATTACTAAACACAGAATTTAAGAGCACAAGGTCATCTAGTGGACTGTAAAACTCATAAGCAGGAAGCCAACTTTATTAATAAATGTTCTCTCTTCCTAATTTTGTCTCTTTTGATACCTTAGAATTTGTCAAGGAGTTTAGAGTTTTCCTGGATTGAGGAAACAGTTTAGGTGACTATAGAGAAATACACTTAACTGCCCTAGTGATAGAAGCAGGTTATTGCACCAGGCGGCATCTGGAATTAACATGGGTGTAAGTGCTCACTGAACATTCCCCTTAAGTGTCAGGCTTATCCGTGCCCTTTGCTGAATACCTTTCATTCTTCCCAGACCTACAATCTGGGATCACTTTTAGATTAGTAATACATACACTCCCAGATATTTTATTTAAAAATAATATGTATATGTTTCATTGTTACAAAGATATACATGCTCACCTTAGGAAACTAACATTTAGACAAGAAAAAGAAAAAAAAGTAAAGCAAAAGCCACATACCTAAAGACAACCCTTCTTAATCCATTACTGTGGATCTTTCCATGTCTCTTCTATACTGTGTGGTGTGTGTGCACATAAATTTCTAGCAATAAAGGCAGAAGACATTTTAATACATATAAAAGCTTTAACTGATAAAATAAAATGCAAAACTCAGTAGACTTGACTGGTAAAACTAAAGGCTGGTTCTTGAAAAAAACAATAGAATGATCTCTGTTGACACATTTAGGGACAAAAGAAACCCACACAAATATAATATCTGCCATAATAATGATGCAACTAAGCAGATGGAGATCTAAGCAAAAATCTAAGCAAATGTGGTATCTTAAATGTTAAGACTGCTGCCCAAAAACTGGTGAAATGGTTAAATGATTGGTGGGCACATGAGAAAGAGTCTACTAAAAACAGGAAACCTCCAGGATAGAATCTCCAGGTTCAGATTTTAGGGGTAGTCCTGGGAAGGCAGGTAATACACAGAGACGGTGGTGGCCCTGGAATGGAGGTCAAGGATCAGGGCCAGTTCAGCCATAGGGAGCAGGTTGTTCTTGTGGAAGTGGGTGGACCTTGACATGCTATTTAAGACTCATGTTAGGGGCTGGGGAGATGACTCAGTGGAACAAGTGCTTCCCTGGCAAGCGCAAGGGCCTGAGTTCAATCCCCGGCTGCACAAAAAAAAAAAAAAAAAAAAAAAAAAGACTCATGTTATATTACACTCATATTCCACACCTTAAAAAGTTCTTACTAGCAATGAAATTACAGACCAAACTCCTGCATCATTTGTAGGCATTTTTTATTCCAAACATGTAGTTTTGTAAACCTGGAATTTCCCAAACAGTGCGAGTGAATTAGAAGTGACTACATGACTTTACTCCACGTGACATGAGGTGGAACACCCTCCCACCAGAACTCCTCAGCAGACGTGTACAAGATGCCTCAGTGGAGCTGGAGATGCAGGGAGTGTGGGCGCCTGGCATGCCGCTCCTTACTCCTAAAGCTTTGAAACTCATGCTGCCGTCACACCATGCATGTTAGAATTAACACCACACAACAAAACAACACCTGAAAACATTTGAAATCTAGATCAGTGTGCTATACAGTGTCACACCATCTTGGGAAATGTGTTTTTTTATGTGCTGAAAAATCAGAAGACAGTGTAGGTTCATTTTGGGCCCTACTGGCTCTGTATCCTTTCTTTGGCCTTTGTTTCAGAAGGTATTTTCCACTGTGCATCTAACTGCCCTATATTATTATCAAAGCACCAAAATTCTGCACACTTGCAGCATTTTCTACTTGGAGCACCTCTGCCTCTTGTCCACTAAAGGGCCATTTTCTCTCCAAACATCAGAAATTTGATCACACATGAACACTCTAGTAATGAGCTACATCCTAGATTAACACCTCTCCCCCAAGACAATTTTTTGTGGCTTCTCTAAATTCTGGGAAGTTGGAGTCAAGCATACATTTCCAAGTGTATGTTTCACAGGCAATCAGGTGTAACGCTTTACACTAGGTCATAGTGCCTTATCCAAAAATAAAATAAAAGTGGTTAACATTTGAAGACCCACTATGCTGGGGATAATCAGGAGCACACAGCAGTGTGGTCACTGGGGGTCTGCTGTACTTCTGCAAGTGTGGAAGACAGACCACAGGTGTCCTGCTGCTCTGTTTGTTTATTATACCCTTGTCTTTGGCTCAAGGACTAGAAGCTACCCATAATTTCTTGGAGAAGGACTCTCTCCTGGACCTTCTACTTGGCCAGGTCTCTAACCCTAGGATGCTGAGTCTACTGAAGCCCCTACCCCACATCACTGGCTAAGAGTCTGGATGTGTGCCTGTCAGTACCCATAGTCAGTGGACCCTGATCCCTATTCCTAGTATCCCCTTGTTTCTGAGCTTCATGGCCTCTTCATTTTGGCATATCCAAGGCTCCCTTGGGGTGTTCCAAACTCTGAGTCTGATGTAACTAAGCATAAGGAAATTATTTTTGAAAAAGGGGGAATTAAAAAAATAATCTAGAGAGACAACATAGACACACTGGCCCAGGCTGTTTGCTTCCCCTGAGAACTAACTGAGGGCCTCTGGGATGGAGCTGGCCAATTGCCCAAGTAGAGAAAGCTCCCTCAATATGCTTGACTTCTTCCTCCACCTCTGTGCTAAAAGGCTGCTTCTAAAAGGCTGCTTCTTGTCTCTAAGGTCTACCTGCTATTCAGTAGGACCAGTTAAGCAGAGACATTGTCCTTTCCCAGATAGGTCCCTGGCGTGGTTTCCATTATTTTCTTCTTGTAATGGCAAGTTTAGTTTCCTTAAAAATTGTCCTGTAACATCTTAGTGACCTCCTGGGTAAGTGACTGCTCACACGACCTACCATTTAGCATCCACTGTGCTCTCACTCTGGTGGCTTGGTGACTGGCAGAACTGTGGGCCTTCTACACTGTCTCCATGTATGTGCACTCCTTACAGAAAGCAAACTACTGATACTCATTGCATTTGGACAAATTTGCTTAGGGAGCTGTTCTGGGTCTAACATCTAAGAATCCCGAATGATTTACTAAAGTAAAACAGGACATTATTAAGAGGACTCCACCAAAGGAAAGGTGTAAATGGAGTCCGTAAAGGAATCCACTCTGTATGCCCATTGTACGAGGCTTGCCACCTGGAGGCACGCTGTGCCTACAGTGTTCTCTGGGAACCCCTGGCCCCTGTCCAGTGCTTGACACACAACAGAGGCCTCAGCAGGGAATGGCTGTTAAAGGAGTGACTAAGCTACACACAAAAATTTTTTCCTATTATTTTTGATAAAATTCATAAACACACGGGGCGAGGACTCACTTCTTTGCTTGATCCTATACTGTGCTGACTCCTGGGCTTACATTGCACAGCCAGAGGCAACATCCCTGACTTCTAAGATTAGCTTGGATCATGTTTTCTGTTGTCCATTCCCATGCTCACCAAGGATGGAAGCAGGACATATTCATCACCTCTGGCTGAAGACTCAGCTGCATAACCCAAAAGACATGGCCCCCATGCCAAGTTTGCAGCTGCCCAGCACTTAATGCTCACAGACACCCAACATGTAACCAGTAAACAAGACATTAGAAGATTCTTGTTTTGTATATTGTTCCATTCCTACTTGATGCCATCTATGTATAGCTTAAGCTTTAGCAAGCTACAGTACAGTATTAAGACTGTGGTCAGACTCTGAGCTTAGCCCCAAGCTTTCTTCTGTACTAGGTGGTTACCCAGCAGTGGAGTAATAGCCAGCATTGTTAACAGTTATTGAGTGGTCACTGAGGGCCAGATGCAGTGGTGAGCTCGCTGTATCCATCACTTCATCACCCTTCTAGAAAATCACACTGCACTCAAAACCAGGCAGCACAGCATGTCTGACAACCAGTAATGTCAAACAGCTTGAATACTGAAGGCCACAACTCAGCATTCACACCTATGAGGGTGGCAGTGGGAGGGAGAGAGGGCATCAGTGCTTTATGCGTTGCTTCTGTGCCTTGCAGGTTGGGATTGCACTGGCAGCCCTCCTGTCAAGAAGAAAGCCTTATGGTCAGTAGGGATCGAGCGCAGAAAGTTTACATTTCCCCTTGGTGTGGGAATAAGAAAGCCCAGTGTCCTTGCTTCAGGCGTGACAACTCCAAGACGTAACTTACCCTCAAAGGTAATCAGGCTGAAGCCGCCTTTGGTGGGACTTTCCCTAAAATGGGTATGTTTGCTTGGCTTCTTCAGTTTCCTGATCCTCCTCTTCTACTCTCTTACTGCTGTCCTCCAGTAAACACTTCTTTAATAATTCCTTGCACACAAATCTTTGATTCAGGATCTACTTTTTGGGAATCATACCTAAAACACTTAAAAGAATAAGAATAACAAAAAGGACAGGTTGGATAGTCATCTCTAGGAAGAAATTTGCAACGACCACTCATTGGGGACTACAAGAGAGGCAAGCGAAACGGGGACGTTGGACCAGAATTCATGAAAAGGCAGTGTCTCACACAGCAATTAGACACAGTCTTTGCTGGGCAGAGGGGTTGAGGTGCTGCTTTAGTTTCTGTGGGGAGCGCATGTTGATCTGTGTCCAGGACAAGAGGCCAGTCTGAAGTTTATCAGATGACCACGCAGCATTGCTCCAAGCCTTCATCTGTCAACTCAAGGAGGAGGAGGAGGAGGAGGAGGAAAGTGAGATGTGTGCTGCGTAAGGGTGATGCAGAGCAGACTTGCTGCTAGGAGCCAGGGTTGCCATTATATTGCCGTTGGGAAGCTTCCAATGAAAGGTGCATGTGAGAAAGCACTTAAGAGTTCCTTAGTACACGGCTCCACACTTGACTCCAGGCAATAAAAATGTGAAATCTCTTCTGGGTCTCGCCATATCTAGTTTATCTGTAGCTCTGCCAGCATGGTGGATTCATTTCATGAAGTGTCTTCAGCTTATTTTATCTGCAAGTCTTTCTGAACAGAAAGTTCCAAAGTACAGCAAAAGTTTTATCCTTTAACATTTGAATATGAGTGAGTGTATTTCCAAGATGTCAGGCCAGATATCAGTGCATGAGTGAATTATATAGCTATTTAATAGAAATAAATCATTGATACAAATATAAAGACATGATCAGTATAAAAGGCTTATATTTATAAAAATACTTTTAGATAAGTTTTCCCCTGAGGGTTGACCACGCATCTTGCATCCATAAATATCACTTGGCTCTGTAGCTTGCTTTCCAAAGTTCAGAGTTATCTTTAAACAGGAAGTGGTGCTGGCTCTGGTCATGTGACATGGCCCGTGGAAGTGGCTGCCTCAGGCTAGCACCCGGGCTTGAAAGAATGAGGACGAGAACAGCATCAGTGGGGCCTCCGAAAAATCTGGAGAAGATTCTTTTCTTCCAAATATGGAAGATACAAAGATCAAGGACAACAGGCTAGTGATTGGGTCACATGACTGGTGTGGCAGGTCACTGGTTTTTCTGGACCCAGTCCCAACTGTCTTCGTTCTCTTTTCGGTTCTTCTCGGCTTCAATAATTTCTTTGTACCTTCGGCGAAAGAAACCCATCTGAAAAGCAGAAAGAGGAGGAGCTGAGTTAGTAAGGTTGGAGATTTAGCTACCTTGATTTCAAGTCAGCCTGGCCTGTGACCTCCCCTCACAGGGCTTGGCAGGCTTGGAGAATTCTTTAAATCAAAATGTCTTTAGAAAACACATAGGCAAGAGAAGAGCCACTTTCCAAAAATGAATGAACTTCTAGTAGGCTATCTTGTGAGAGGTTGTTTACTCCTTGTAAAATGGTTCTGCTACAGTATTTTCCAGCTGAGTTATTTAAAGGTGTTTGGGAAGCAAAGCATGGTTGTGCATACCTATAATCTCAGCACTTGGAAGGCTGAGGCAGGAGGATTGTTGCAAGTCTTGGCTACATAGTGAATTTGAGGCCAGCTTAAGCAACATAGTGAGACCATGTCTCAAAAAAAAGGTGTTTTGGAATTTAAAAAAGGGTTTCATGGTCAAATAAGGGTAAGTACAGGGAGCAATGTACTCTTCCTTCCAGAGATTTGTAATACACAGAAGAAAGGCAAGGGATCTGATAACTCTACAAATAACCCTGGGGCCTGATATTTCCCGAGTTTGTTTGGTTTTAAATGAACTTAATATCCTGGGAGCTGTTAGTCTTCTTCTCTGAAATAATCTGATAAATACTGCTCTGATGTGAGAGGTTTTCTAAAGTATCCGTAGCCTGTGCTCTACATGGTTGTCATACAGATAGCTCTCTGAAACCCCTGAAACCTGGGAGTGTGAACAGAGTCAGCAGCTGGCTTCACCTACGGCCAACAACTTATTCTGATTTGAGGTGGTGGTTCCCTTTAGTTTAGTTCTGAAAGTCCTGCCCCCTCCTCTGATGTTGGATTTGGTCTTGTGACTTTTTACATATAATAAGACAAGTTTCTAATTTCTAATTTTCCTCAGTTATCACAGGCACACTGCCAATGTTTAAGTACCTTTTTGTATCACAGAGCTTACTCTTGCTCCTCTTTTCAGAAAGGCCTGGCATCTTTTGTTCTTTGCTCACTAGCATTAGGAGTCTCTGTTCTTTTACTTTTTTTTTTTATGTATTTAGTACAGGGTCTGTAGGGTCTCACTACACAGGCCAGACTCATAGTGATTCTCCTGTTCTCAGCCTTCCAAGTGCTGGGATTACAGGCAAGCACCACCACGCCCAGTCTCAATAGCCATCTCAGTGCACCCCAGGGGCGGGGCTGGCACAGCAGGCAGGGGAGCGAACCCTGGCTGCTGCATCTGTCTAAGCAGGCACTTTAATCTGCTGAGCTATCTGTCTGGCCCAAGAGTCTCTGTTCTTGAAGCCATACTTCTCGCCCTGCATGTTCCCTTAAACATGACTGGTCACTGAGCAGGTATAAATACATCAGCTCCCTCTCTCCTTGGGTAGAAGATCTCAAGTACAGGGTTTTTCTCAGTGGAGCTTGCCCACAGTAGTAACCTACTTGATAACACATCCTTTACTGGCTTCCTCCCTTCTCTGTCTGACTTCTTGCTTCACAAGTGTTTTCTGAGCTCACCTCCCAAACAAACTTCTTGCCCTCAAATCCTTGTTTCAATTTCCCTTGAATAGAAAGCTTCAAGCTGAGGCACATACCCACTCTCCTGCGGCAGACCTTCTGCACTGCAGAAGAATGTAAGAATATCATTAGCTGATTATTTCCATAGCCATATTTGAAAGCCCTCATGACTAGCAACCTCTGTAGCCTGTGGCCAACTGTGGATGTACATGCCCCAAACAAATCGTCAAGCAAACCTTGTTCTCTTCAGCACTTTTAACACCCTTAGTGTATATCTGTCCTCTAGTTTCTTTAATGTAAGTGAAGCAATTTGGTCATTTCCCATTGTTTATAGCAAAATGCCCAAGTCTCTGTAATTTATAGAAAATAAAAGGTTTACTTAGCTTACTATTCTGGAGGCTAAAAGTCCAAGATTGGGTAGCACCACTAGTTCAGCATCTATTGAGGGTGACATGGTGGATGGTACTGTGGTAGAAGCGCACACAGGAGAGCTCACATGGCAAGATGGGAACGCAGACAGGGAAAAGGAGCCACTCTTGCTCTTTGTAACAACTTTCTTGCAAGAACTAATCAGGATCCCATGAATGCTAACATAATTCCTCCCGAGGGCAGCACCCTCACTGACTCAGACCCTCACTGACCTCACACCTTCGATATCATCCTGAGGAACAAGCTTCCAACAGTAAGTCTTTGGGCAATGCACTCATGCGATACACCCAAACTGCAGCCTTTTCCTGATGACCATCAGCTGCTCTTTAGTGGTGACCAGGAATTGTCTAGCTGCACTAGTCAACTCCCAAACTGCCAGGAGGGGATTTACTGACCTAGCTAAGGATAAGAACTGTCAAAGAAGCTTCCAGACACCTCTGAGCATTTGCTTCAGGTGGGGCCCACAAGGCACTATAGTTTAAACAACGGAAAGGAAACAGAAGCCTTCTTAGAACAACTTGTGTAAGGCTTATGCTCTGAGCTTTGATCCTCAAGGCTAGTCCTGTAAGTACACACTGAGTTCCTGGTATCGTTAGTCCTGGAGGCTTCTTTCCAGCCTAAGAACATATTTTTCAGACCACCTCCCACCCCTCCTTCTCTTCTCTGCAAGGGATGTAGAATAGAGACATGGCTTAATCTAGATAATTACAAAAACTCACTATTGTCACTCCAAAGCACACCCACAGAAGACCAAGAAAAGCAGACTAATACTCAACAGAAATGTTTCACTAAGAAACCACTGCTTGAAGCATTTGTTAGAGATGAAGATGTGGCTGACATGTGGACAAAAGTGACCGGATGTTTGTGGGTGAGAGAGCACTGTTTCAGTAACCCCAACTGACTTCCTTTTACTTCCAGAGAACATATCTTTACAGCAGCACAAATCTAGCAGATGCTTAGCCTGCTTCTATGTTATCTCCCGCATGTGTCTTAGGATCCCCTGAAGGCAAGATCTGTGCATTTTATATCCAATACACAGTGTCTCATCTACATTAAGTATCAGTGATGAGTTGCAAAAGTGCCTGTGACTTTCTTTGCCCCAGTGTGTACCCCTTTTACTGGGTGCCAGCAGTGACTCCCACCATGAGGTGGTGTCTACTTCCCCTGCCCTAAAGTTCCACTGAAGCTTTGACAATCAGATGTAAAAGACGTGGTGCTTTGTTTGCCCACATTTCTGATTACTGTCTCACAATCCTGCCTTACTGCAGGCTAACAGATCCATCCAGCTTGCTGAAAAACAGGAGAACCTCAGCTGAGGCAAGCCAAGGCAGCCAAACCATGACTTCCTGCAGGTGAACATGGGAGCCCAGCAGAGACTGACTCAGTCTAAACTGGCAGCACAGAATTATGAGATACAAAAGTGGTTGTGCTGTTTAGGCCACTGAACATTGGGGTGGTTAGTTATGCAGCCTAAGTTAACTGGTACAGAACCTGATTTTTTTTGCTGATTCATTGAATGAACTAGAAGGTTCTAGATGTAAATGGCATCAATGCACCTTGTTCTATGGATCCAGAGCTTCCTAAGAAGTAAAAAAGCTGGCTCACTTCTGCTAGCCAGGCAAGGGTGAAGATTTGTTATAAAGAATGGGAAACAACTAAGGAACACATCCAAGGAAGGATTTGAAACATCTGAACTAACACATGCACGTACTCTCCCATGCTCATGCTTTTATAGTGGTCTCCTGTCATGGACAAAGTGAAGAGAGTCTCACCCCTTGTAGGGATCCAGAAGCAGGCTCTTTGGATGCTTAGTGGAATGGCATCAGCATTAGGCCTGAACATCAGGACCCCAGCAAGACCTACTAAGTGGCTCTCAGAAATTGCCTTCCATGTTCTACGCCCTGCTCCAGCACTGCAGCCCCAAGGGCGCTGCTCCCAGCATAGTCTGTGTGTGGTCCCTTGGAAGGGAGGCTGGAGTTGCCACTGATGTATGTCTGTTTTCCTTGGAACTCAAAAGACCATTTCTTAAAATAAAATACCTTCTCATGGACACCGCAGTACAGGCTGTGCATTGCACGCATGTAAGGGGTTAGGGTGCCTCTCACATCACAGATAAGATAGATGTATACATTTATTATAACTGTTTCCCAACAGATGGCAGTAGAGTGTGCAGCAAAATCAGCACATTGTTTTTAATTTTCTGACAGATGAAAGTAAAGGGTACTGCTATTGGCACAAAGGTACCATATTGTCTAATGATGGCCTGTGAAATGAATATTGTTTCTTATAGAATCAGGCTAATTATTTCAGAAAGATACATGCTACCCTTGTTCTTCGGCTTAGAGCCTGGTTTTGACTTGGAAACAGTGCCCATGAACAGAGAGCTCAGGTCTACCAGCCATCATCCCAGGCCTGTTTGGTGCACAAGGGTTTACATACAGTTGAAAGGCCTGACTAAACTCTGGCTAAGTCACCCCAGGGCCACAGGGAAGGTTATTTTATGGCTCTGAGCCCCGGTGTTGTCCCTGTCTCAGAGATCAAGGGCATCCTTAGACCTTTTCCAGATTTCAACATGTGACAGCTTTTTCTGTTGTTCCGCAGAGAAAATTCAGGGCTGTCACAGACCACATAGTGGTACACTCAAGAGTCACACAAAGCAGGGACAAAAACAGGGTTCTTCAGCAGTGTCAATTGTTCTTAAAGGTTTTTTTCAATTAAAAAAAAAACCAAGTAAAACATAGTATATTTTCAATAATTATGAGGCTTTTGGATTCACAAAATACATGTAATTATGTTCACTTATTTAATTTTTATAAGTTTTTGGATTATGGGGTTTTAATCTCAATTTTGCCAATAAAGTAGTAGGTGAGGTAGATGTAAGTCCAGGACTGTTATCTCAAGTAACACAGTGACTGTCTGAGGGACCTATCAAAAAATGGTGAAAATATGAATTCTTTAAAAAAAAAAAGTCAAGGAGGCTGAAGCAGCAAGACCAGGAGTTTGAAGCCAGCCTGAACGACATAGTGAGACCTCATGGGGTGGGGTGGGGAGAAATCA